GGCAAAATAAACAATTAACGCCTAAAAATTATTTGGATATAATAAATGATAAAGTGATATTTGATGGTCAGAATATTAATTTACAACTTAAAAATGGGTCAATGACTCGCTTAACAATCGGTAAGACTGCATTAACAGGAGCACACACTAAGGCTGTATGTTGTGAAAATGGATGTTGTATGCCATTTATTTAATACAATTTAAAATTTTATTTTTAATAAAATGCCACAGAAGAGACAAAAGGAACCGTAAATAATGGTTTTGATACTATGATTCAAAGAGGTGGGCACCCTTAAACATTTATTTTATTTTTATATAAATGGATAACACAGATTTAAAAATTTTAATTGATGATTTAGTACTTAATCAAAATTTTCTTAATTATTATGAATTAAAATCATATCTCCAAAAACATAATAATTATATAACGGGTGATGATATGGAATATTATTATCCGTATTATAAAAATGAAATTTTGAAATATCATGATAAAATAATTTCTAAAATTAAAGACAAAATTAAAAATAATGAATATACAAAGGAAAAAACTAAATCACAACTTAAACAATTGAAAGATTTCAAAAATAAAGTATTAACAGAAGAAGATATTGATGAATTATATAAATTATATAATCATGAGCCGCAAAAACAAAAGGTGCAAAACACACAGGTCCTTCAGACCATAAATGAAGCACAAGCTTTAATTTATGATTCATTAGTTAAACCATATTCAGCCCGACTTTTAAATGAAGATCAACTTTTGGAATTCATCCTTCAACATAAACTCGAAGCGGGAAAGTATATCAAACCTTTATATACAGCATATTTAAAACAAATGAATAGAATACATCCAGAATTAATGAAGGGGGAATGAAATCCAAAATCAAAGCAGATAAAATTAAACCACTTGCAACACCAAAACCTCCAACGACAGTACCTCCTCCTCCTTCAGTTAATCCTTCATCATTCACTTTATTATATCCATTTCAAACATTAAAGAAGCAAAAAGATTTTAAAAAGGATTTCAAAATATTAAATAAACCAACTGACCCAAAAATTCAACCGTTAAAGGAAAAATTTAGTCGCCCTTCATTTGCTCCATATCCATATTCATACGAAATCGATCATCTGGAATATTCAAAAGGAAACGTTACTTATTTATTTGCCATTAACATTAACACTAGATATTTATATTGCATTCCAGTGAAAGGGAAAACAGAACAGGAAACAAGAAGAGCTATACAATACTTACTAGATCATGAAAGAGTAGATAATATCAGGGGATGGTGATAAAGGATTTCAGGCAGCTATGGCTCATTATTTCCCACAAATTAATTTTTTCTTTTCATCCTCTCCATATACGTTTCATAATAAAATAGTTGATGCGGTAATGAGAACTCTTAGAGATGCGTTAGGGGTTAACGGTCAGATATACTGGGATGGAAATCATGACTCCATCATACAACAGTTAGTATATTATTACAATAATACATGGCATAGAACTATAAACATGAAACCAGTGGAAATGAAAAATGATATTTCAAAAGAATGGGAATATATTAGAAAGCAAATGGAAAGGTTGAATGATGTTAAACGTGAACAAATTAATTCGGGGCTCATGAATTTTAAACAAGGGGATAAAGTTTTGATTCATCTCGATTATGGAAAAACTGATAAATCAATGACAAAAAGAAGACGAAGATTTGACACAATAGCTGAATTTGTTAGATATATTAACGGCAATGCATTAGTTGAAGTTGACAATAAATTAATAGAAATTCCGATTTATTTTATTACTCCATTATATTTAAATAATATTTAATTTTTTTTATTTCGTAAGAAATGAGTGACAACAAAGCAGCCAAGAGTCCAGACAATGAATATAAAAAGAAACTAAACAGAATTAAATCAAAAATATGCTATTACAAAAAGAAGCCGCAATGCGGTGGGGTTGAAAACGATAAAGAGAGGAAAGAAATAATCGAAAAATTAGAAACTTACCGTTCAATCCTTAAACTGAGTGAAGCAAAAATAAAAGAATTTAATAGAATAAATAAATTGATTGGAAGAGATGAATTTAATAAAGATGAATTTTTAAACTCAATCCAAATTTAATTTTTATTCCTCTTCGACAACGTCTCGAATAACTGAAGGTGTCACTACGTCACCATGTCACCAGGTTAATTAACTTCTCTGAAAAATGATGACAACATGACATTTTGACAACAGGTACGAAAGGAGGAAGGCATTTATGAATTATTTTTGAATAACTGAAGGTGTCACTACGTCACCATGTCACCAGGTTAATTAACTTCTCTGAAAAATGATGACAACATGACATTTTGACAACACAGCGGGATTAATGCAAAAATAAATTCCAATCATACTTTATAAAGCTTCATTTACAGGTATTTCATCGTCAGTAAATGAATCCTCATTATCGTTTGGTTCAACCCGTTTATATAATCCTTTCATTTCTTCTTTCAAAACATAACACCATGTTTGTTTACCATCTATTCTTCTCTGTTTCCTATCACATTTATCCTTAATGCTCATTTGGAAATTCTTGTCTTTCATGTCTGATGGTTTGCAGAATAGAGCATTTTTACACGTCATACCTGCACACAATTCATCATAATGTGTATTTATCCATACATCTAAAGGATTTGTTGATAATTCTATTAAATCTTGTTTGGCTTCAGTCATCGGTATGATTCGTACATTAAATGATGAAAGGTCGTAATTGAGGAAATATGTTAGTAAATTATCATAAAATTCCTTTGTGCATGAATTCATCAAATTCTTGAAGTAATCAAATTGACCCTTGAATTTACCATTAACCCTTAAAACTACGTATCTTCTGTCTCCAACTTCAATTTTGACAGGGTAAACGTTATTAGTTACCAAAATGAAGTTTGCAACGTTCTGAGCAGTTCTTCTGGGTTGATTCTTTTCATTAATTCTAATTTCATTATCCGTAATAATTGATTTCAAAGCGTTGAAGTTTGCGAGTCTGTCTTCACCAACATTCTTGAGTTCATTAAGTACAAGAAACATTTTATTCTCAACTACTGAATTGAAATTACCGTTAGCTCACTTATTTCAGTAATGTTTTTACATGAATAACCGGCGAGAAGTTCAGAAATAATGTCTGTAAATCTGTTTTTACCTGTTCCCTGAAGTCCTTTCAAAATAATTGCTGTTTCATTCTTGATTCCAGGATGTTGAATCATTGATGCAATCCAGCCGAGTAGGTATTTATACACTTCATCATTATTATCACAAATGGCTTCTTTAATGAAATTCATAAACATCTCAATTTTTGAGTAATCGGGCTTTTCGAGAACGTTGTATTTATAACCTTGAAACGTTGAGAAAACATCTGGAGAATCAGATTTAAAGCAAACACCCTTAACGGTTAATGAAGATAATTGATTTAGTAGTACGTCCCATGCTGTTATGGTTTTACCTTCTTCTTTAAATAATTTAATCATTTTGAGTGACTCTTTCATGTTTGATTGAAGAACGAATGATATTTGATTCATTCTGTCGTGGATATTATAGTCCTTTTGAATGAAATATTTATTTCCACAATCTACAAAACGGATTACACGTGATAAATCCTCAATTACTTCAGAACTGTTTTTATACTGATGATTTTCAGCCTTGCGTCTAATATCTGTTTATCAAAACGAGTCATCAAGTTTGATATCAAATGTTATTTTTGGCTTACGTAATAAAGGTAAAACATATTCATCATAATATTCCTTTTGATATAGTTTTAGAATCTTCACCAAAACAAATGGAGAAGTCATTAAATGTGCATATCTACTACGTGCTTTTTCAAAATTACTTTTTGCATTTTCTGTTAAACTGCAGAAGTTATAAACGTTATCGTATGCTTCATTAATCAAATGATTAGGTAACGAATTAATAGCTTGAAACAGTGTGAATAATGTAACTTCTTTTTCTAAATTCATGTTTCCACCGTCATTATGTACTTCAAAATCACTGATGCCATCAACTATGCTCTGGGCAAGTTTATCGTCAATGTTTACATCTTTGTTTTCATTCATTATACTCTTTATTTCTTCATTCTTCTGTTCAACTCTTACCTTAATATTCAAATCATTTAATATATCATTCACTGTTCTAGTTAATGTTGAATCGTAACTTCCACGAATGAATGAGTATGTATTGATTGGTTCTGTTGCATTCTTGCGAACTCTTGAATCAGCCATAACCACTAAAGAACGCTTTGAATCATCCATTGAAGTCATGATATCGATATCATAATCATTGCAGGAATAACATTTAATCATTCTGTTCGAAACTGCATAGAAGAAATTAGTGTTGCAATAAATGTGAAGACCTCCTGAAGCGGTTTTAACGATAACATCTTTATCCGAAAGTTTTGATAAAATATCTTTTCTAACTGTTTCTTTAAGTTCATCATTGTACGATTTATTGATATCAACATCTATAATCGTTAAATTTGATATTTTATTTGCTAATAAAGCTGTACCAGTTTTCCTTCCTCTTCCTCCATCGTGTTTGAGGTAGTTATGTAAATCAATCTTGTTTTCACCAATTCTTTCGTTGAGGGTTTTAGTTTCTGCCACAACTAATTCCTCAGCTAATGAATCAATAACTTTTTCATCAGAAATGATATAGTTGCTGTTGTTGTTTGTTGCTGTCATTTATATAGGAATAAAAAAATAAAAATAATTTTAAAACTAACTTTATTTTTGGACTGCATCATATTTCCAGGACTGTTGTCAAAATGTCATGTTGTCTCATTTTTTCAGAGAAGTAAATTAACCTGGTGACATGGTGACGTGGTGACACCCGAAACCATAAACGTAAACATTAACGTAAACATTAACGTAAACATTATTTCTGCAGTTCATCCATTACTTCATTACCTAATTAATTACAGACATAAAATATATTTAGTTCATTCGGTAAGCCTTGACCCAAAGGTCTGGGCTCAAGCACATTCAATGAACACGGTACCATGCGAATACAGTCACAAATGGTGGCATGTAATCTGCACCCGAACCCGTTGGATTTGTTGTGAAAGTGTGTGAATGATTTCCTGCGGTTCCACAGAAAATACCTGTGCTTGAATCTATTGGGTCAGTTGAAATATCAGATCTATTCATTCCCTGTCTATTCAAACCCGCTGCAAGATTTGTATAACCTCTTTTTGTTATTGAATGTGAATGATTACCTGTTGTGTTTGTAGTTCCTGTATGAGTGTGCGGTGGAAGGTTTGCTTCTTTAATTTTCTTCGAACCTCCTGTTTGCTTTGAATATCTAGCACAGTATAAGAATTTGTCTACAATCTGCTTCCACGTACCAAAACCTAAAACTGTTGATGGATTTGTTGAATTCATTGACGTATAAATAGAACCAACAGGATATAATGTTTGAAGAATTTCATTTTTCATGCTTGTAATCACATCATTTACTTCCGACTTCTTTGCATAATTTTCATTAACATAAGTTTTATCTGCTTTAAGATCTAAACATCCTGAAACCCATTCTGTATCAGCTTTAACTTTAAAAGTCTCCGATGTCCATTCATGATACCATTCAACCTTTTCTTTAATTTCATTATCTTTTTCATCAACATAAACCAAATTTGCTTTCTTCATTAACTCACTATCCACATATTCCTTATCCACCCTCTTCATTATGTCATTTAGGAAACCTTCTATGAATTCCTCATTTAAATTAAATCTTCCAATCTTCAAAACTTTAGGAAATGCATTTAATGCGTAATATCTCTGTTCTTCTGGTGGAATTGATGTTATATCATCCGTTATTCCTTTAATTTTTGAATTCATAAATAAAATTTCTTTTATATTTGATATCACTGCACCACCTTTGCAAACGAATTCGAAATGGTCATTTTTCAATACTATCTCCAAATCTCCATATTTCAACCTTTGCGTTTGTTCTGCCGTCTTTGAATTATATGCATATATGGCGTATGTAATGGTCTGAAGGACCTGGGCGCTTTGCGCCTTAAGTTGTTGTGGTTGCTGTTGTTTAATCATTTATTATGATTTAAAAATAAATATTTAATCCGTTATCTCATCGGCTATTTTCTCTATTTGAAATTGCCATAATATTTCATTCATAAATTCTAAATCACAATCAAATAGGTCAGTTATTCTAAATTTAATATTTGATAAATCTTTTGAATGAAGAATAAATGAATTCCCGGATAATTGAAACGGATATGATAAAGAAAATGTGTTTAAGTTGATGGATAAAATGTTTTGTATTGATGGGTAAGAGTTAGGGTCTAATGTTTGATGTGAAAATCTCATTGGGGTATTAACTTTATCACATTTGATTAAAATGAAATTGGAACCAGTGTCAGAATACAAAACATCCCCAACATCTTTTTCAAAATTTAATATCCCCAACAATGAACGAAGATGAGGAGTACAAAATTTAATTTTCAGCGGGAATTTAATAAGGTTATTTATTTCATCAAGTTCAAAAAGTTTATCGGGTTTTGATTTAAAATTTTCTTCATACCATACGATAAATGATTCATTTAAATAACTTAAAATCATGTTAATATCCCATTTCGCTATCACATTATTTATATACATATCATACGTTTTTTCAAGGTCATCTTTAATAAATGATATATAATCTGAAGGGTCTAAAAGAATGGGATTAAATTTACCACTCACAGAAACGAGAGTAACATTATAAATTCCGCTAACTGTTAAATTTAATTCACAGCTATTATTCGAAATAATATTGATAATTGACATTTTTATTACGATTAAAAATATGGTAAAGCGTTATTTTCCGGTGATAAATAAAACTAGAATAAGATTACCTCAAGAATTCATAAATTCAACGAATAAGAAATTCATTCATGTTATAAATTTTAGTGTTTTCAGAAAATATGAGTCAGTGTCATATTCATCAACAGGTTATATTTCACTTCATTCAAATTTAGTTCAATCAAACCCATATAATGACCATTTCATAAGATTTTCAGATGGTATTAAAAATGTAATTGATAGATTAAAATATGAACAGATTGACAATATCGAATTTTTGGAATTTTGGTTTAAATATCCCGATGGAAAAAAGATTGAAGTTAAAGATAAAGCTGATACTATAACAAAAACAATTACAATGACCGATCCGGATAGTGGGGAACAAAAAGAAATAAAACAAACGATAGAAACTGGTGAAAGGTCAATTATTATTGATTATGATTCAAAGGATTATTATTCGATAATGTTAATGCTTGAATATTAAATAGCCTTAACAAAGAATTTTTCAAGTGATATTTTATATTCATCAACTATTTTATTATAAATATCATTATATGTTAAATGAAGTTCAGTTGTTGTTCCATTCTTTGATATCTTAATTGTGCTAATATCCTTTATAGGATTTATTTTTGCAACTATTCCGCAGCATGAAACCTCATCATCTATGAAAAATTGAATCTTAACGTCTGAATCTTGAACATCACAAAGAATGGCGATAATGTGAATTAATGATTCATAAGGTAAAATAATTAAACCTGATTGATCAATTAAATTTATTATTGAATCATAATTATCAGTTATTATATCACGGTAAATTTTCATTAATTCAGAATTAATGTCTATTTTATATGGGTTCTCGATGTTTGATGAAAGAGGCGGGGGGTATGTTGGATAAGTGGGAATTTCAACAGGTTCTTTACCGGGTTCAGATAAAATGATTGGGTCTCCATTCTCATGGTTTTCTTCATTCTCCTGTTTCGGTAAGTCACGAGTTAATAAATTTGGTTGAGTTGCTGACCTTGTTAATTCGGGGCTAACATTAACTTTAACATTTTGAATAATTCGTGATTTATCATCATTTACGTTATAACCAACCGTAATCTCTGCTTTTGCGTTAGTGTTCTTTTGACTAGTGAAACGTCTTCTCATTTATATTCGAATAAAAAAATATATTTAAACTTTTATTTTGCTGGAAGTTTTGAATCTATTATTCCCTGTATTTGTTCATGAAGTTGATTTTTAGCTGTTTCATTGTAATTAATAGACCTAATATATTCATTAATTGCATTCTTATAATCATCTGATTTCTCAAATTTTCTTTTATCTAATTCCTTAACTAAATCATAAGTTAAACCTCGTTGCTGATATAATGGTTTCTTAATTAAATCTTTGAATGCTTGAGATAAAGCACCTGATGCAATTCTTGCTACTATAATTGGTTGGAATTGCTGTTTAAGTTCATCTTTAACATTTGCGAAAACTGGATCGAATAAAGCAACTTTAAAGAATTTCTTAGCTGAAATTTCAGGTCTAATATTTGCATATTGACCATCAAACTGGTTAGAATATCGTGGTAATCCATCCGGTCCCTCTTCAATAGCATTTAATTCTTCATTGAAATAAGAATATGGATTATAACGGTATGAATTAATTGGACCATTTTCACCTTCTCCAATGTATTGTTTAACAGCTTTTCCATTTTCATCAAATTGCATAGGATAACGTTCATTATATGCTTTACGTTTAGGATAATCAGTTATAGTTAATTTATAACCATTTATGACTTTAATATTACCTTGACCATCAGTAACGAAAACTTCATTTATACCATCAGGTTTTCCATTTGGACCTGTAATGTCTGCTTCGTGTGCTTCCCAATTTGGACCTTGACGTTTGGCATATGCTTGAGCTTCTGGTAATGTTAAAACGTTTCTCATTTGTTTAACATCTTTTTGAAGACCAGCAACAATATGAACTAATTCTTTCATTCCATCAGGAACTTTCATAGTTCTATTATATGCACCCTTTTTGTTTGTTCCTTGTTTTAATGGAACCTGTAGAAGATTTGCCATTTCTGTCATGTTTAATTATAAATAAAAAATAAAAATTAATTATAAAAAGTTAATCAAATTTAACACTTCCTTTATTTAAATCAACTATTATTTTTCCATGTTCACCTAATTGCTGATATTGTGTGTAAAGTTCATTAATGCTCATTGGTAAATTCACTTGATAAAGCATAACGTTCAACTGTTGACGACTAAACCCACTGAAAATGAAAAGTGTTGATAGATTTGATTTAATGTTTGTGCTTAATGCTTTGAAGTATTGAACAGCCATGAAGAATGAACACTGAATGTGTCGACATTGAGTTAATAACTGATTAAAATATGATTTCTCATTTGTTATTAGTTTTGATTTCACTGCATCATCTAGAAAAATGAGTGAATGCAAAAATTCTCTATCAAAATTTGAAATAGAAAGTGTTTCAAATAATTCATCCCGTTGTTTATCAATAATTTTATCCTCTAATCCTTGCTTCTTGATTGTATTATATAATTCTTTATACATTAAAAAGTTTTTTAAATAATCTTCTGCTTCTTCTTGTGATAAGTAAATAATTGGAATTTTGATTAAATGCTTTAAAGATTCAAATGTATCATCTGAAGGTGAACCTGAACGGTTGATATAAATTAACACATGTGAATAGGGGGAAGTGTTAGCAATAATGATAATTTGTTTTAATATCGTTAATGTTTTACCTTTATTTTGTTTACCAATTGCTGCAGTGATTGAATTTAAGTAACATTCAGAATATGGAATTTTCATTAATTTTTCCTTAGATAGAGCATTTCTATTATCACTCAATACTTCATTAATCATATCATCTACGTATGTATTATATACTCCCGCTAATTCTTCATAAGGGGTGGATGAATTTAAATCCATTTAATCAAAAATAAATTTATAATTTTAAACATTTCTATTCATCAATATTTCATCATATGAACTTCTATACTGTGGTGGTGTACCTGTTGGATGATATTTCAAACCTTCATCCGGTGTCCATGTCCAATATGTAGTCCTAGTAAACCAAACCTGAGGAGGATTTGTCACCTTTGAACAGTAAGTGTCATTTTCACCCTGAATGATTGGATAAGCTTTCACTTGTACTGTAACTTGTGAGTTGAAAGTTTCTAATTCATCAAAGAATATACCCGCTCCATCACGTTGAACTGGAATAGTGCATAAGAATGAAGTTTGGTCTTTCCATGTTCTAGCTAATGGCGTGCCATTATCATCATTCAGTGGTCTAGTTAATGAGTCCTCGTATTCTTCTGTGCATTCGTTCACTCCATCTAAATCAGAAGCTTGAAGCATACGTGTAAAGAATATGTCGCCCACTGTGGTCATCGCTTGATCGGGGAAGTTTCTGGAATCTATAGTGACCTGAAGACCTCGAAGCATTGGATTTTCTAAAACTGTTCTTTGCATTGCATTCTTCGGAAATGCTAACACAACATCTGTAACATTATGAAGAGCGTATGAGAAATCTGAGTTAATACCTTCAGGAGTGATGCAACCTCCATTTAGTGAACGAACGTCAATATGTTGAGCTGGAATCATGAATGGATCTTCCTTACTGAATAAACGTGGTATTGCTTTAACTGATTCTTCAATTAAACCATATCCTGGTGTAATGCATTTATCCTCTAAAACTTCCATCTTTGTGCATGAAATAATAACGTCATCAACTGTTGCGTCAGCAGATGTAGCGGCTAAGCTTGTAATTAATTTGGCAGGAAGTCCGATTTGTTGGAATTTGCGATCATATTTATAAACATGATTCATAATCTTTTCATAATTTTCATCAGTTATCTTTTCATAAACGTAATTTTGTAAATCAGCAACTCTTAACGGGTCAACCTGACAAAATACTAAAGTATCCCTGAAAACATAATATTTAAGAATGATATCACTAAATGATTTAGGATAATCATCGAACGCCTGAAATGCTAACAAATCATTTACCGGAATAATCATATCAAAAGTGACATCAACTTCTTCATTTGCTCTCTTGAAAACTTCTGAAGGGTCAATATATTTTCCACATACTGAGTTATCATATTTTTGAACATTATTATATAACGAATGAACAAACTTTTTAACTTTCCTTTCTGATTTTGGTTTATATGTTGCAAATGCGAAAGATTCACGGGCGCAATCCATCTGAAGATAACCGGCATCAC